TTAATTCTTGATGTAACAATATGTGTCAAGAGAGAAACATCCAGTAAATATAATTTCAGCATTGTTCCCCACAGCATATTTTAATTGCGTAGATGTTTTGTTGTTCCGTTATTATTATGAATATTAATATCATCTTCTCCGATTATATTCTCACGAAAGTTCATCGAATTTAATTTTTTCATAAAAGTATTTCCATTCCGTTGAATTTCAATTAAATACGCATATACCTCTCTTTAGTTACGTTACAAGTTAAGTTTTTACACATGTTGATCTTAAAATGATTGCACGCAATAAAAACGTAACATTCATCCTTTTAGATCCCCGTTTGATTTTTGATACGCGACAACAAATTCGATAACTCGCACGAATTACACCCGAACGTACGCGTACGATTAAACTCAGCGGCACGGAACGGCGCTGTTAATCACCGTAGTATAATTGGATATAGCACGATACGTAGCAATCGATGTATCGATGCAAAACAAGCCCTATTTCTAATTCGATAGGCACGGTGCGAATACCGCTGCACCTGCAATCAGTGAGAAGCGGAAACGACCGGCTGTTGGCACATCACCGCGATCATGGCAAAAAATGGAGGACCTCGCAGACCAGAGGACACGTGTCCTGACAGGAGGAGGAAAACTCTCAGCAACAACGAGTACACACCTGGATATGAGAAAAATATCTGGATATGAAAATATCTAGTCCCCCTTTAATGCCGGCGCGGCGCTTTTCGCCGATCGACCAGCTCCGCGATCGGCTCGATCGCACCTGCAGCGTTTGCAGCATCCTGGGAAGGAGCGATTCCCTCCGGCTGTCCAAGCTAGTCCTTGTATAACGGGCCAAAGATGCAATTACTATGTTTCGAGAACTTTAATCGAGTTTCTCTCTCTAGTCACGCGCAACGTTAATCGCGAAGAGATATCTGTGTTATTACATTACACGTAATGTAATTTAAAAGAGTAATTATGTTTACTATCACTGAATTATCTCTATCGGCGTATCTCATTCATAGTTATTTTAAAAAATCAACGGACCAAAGAAATTGTATCTACTACATCTATCTTCTTTGTAGTATTAATATACGCGGTGTTTTGCAAAAAAAATGGACGCATCAAGATTCGCGATTAATCGGTGTTAGAAAAATGTTTAATCTAAGGAATAATGGTTGAAAATGCGTAACATCATCGCATTAATTGTCGTGTTCCTATCGTATGTATAATAACTCTACCGAAGAGGAAACTCTTTCGAGACTAAGGGGCTCTTGTTTAAAAATAAGATATTTCTTCAATCAATAAGCCTAAGAATTAAAAGATAAAATTCACATATATTTTATGCTAAGTAAAATAAAAGATATAAAATTTCATATGTATATACGTGAAGATATACATGTATAAAACTTTATATACGTGTATATATATAGAGTTATATATATCTTCACACAGACAACTGCAAGCTTTTTGTTAATAAATTAAAGATTGTAAATTATATGTGAATACATTAAACGCGCACTAGATGTGGTTGTGAACACTTAGATAATCTGCAGTAAATCCAAGCTTATCGCTTTGTTATCTTTTATTTGTGAAAGTTCAATTACTTCATTTTTTTATTAAATAAACTTAATAATAAAATGCGCAATTTCATAGTTAAAGCTATCTATATCGGCCTTAGATTTTCAGCAAGTTTAAAGATAAAAATTATATTTTGATATTAAAAGATTATAATTTCCTCTTATCTACTATTGCGCATGCTATTTTAGAGGAGATTCGTATTAGTGCGCTTTCTTTTGACATGGCTACATATTTATTCAGTCTAAGCAGAAGATAAGCGAAACGAAACAGCGTTAATGAACTTAAAATGTGTGTGTAATGTCTTTTGCCTGCGTTCGTTTGTTCACATTGGGAGCTATTGGGAAAATAAAATCTATAATATACGTTACGTGTATTATACATTTTATGTTCCCAATAGCTCCCAACGGGAATAAACGAACGCAGACTTTATAACTCATGTTCCTTTTAGACTTTCAGATGTTGTCGGAGCAAGAAATACTCTGGGAAAACAAACGCTTTTTAAGATACGATTTAGGTGTACATAATACACATCACATAATAACGTAATAAAAGTACATAATTAGGGAAATATTCAAAGTCATGGGATTATTTCTGAATAAGAGGGTAAACCGGCGCAGCTGAAAAAGTTGCGTACCAGGAAGTACCACGAACGCACTTCATTTTTTGAATGGTCCAAAACAGCTCTGTATATAAATGGCGGACACAAAATAATAAACAGGATTCCATCGATACCGAAAAAATTTTCATACCACAACTGTTGTGATATTTATAACTTTTTTGAATTTATAACTCGCTTTTTGTACCAGCCGTTCTAGCTGTTGGAATCTCTATCTAGGTTAAGCTCGTTCTAAATAAAAACAAGCGAGCAAAATATTTGTTTACAATTTTTCTCAGAAACGTAAACAATCGGAAAGAGAAGGAGAGAAAATTTTGCAGATCGACATATTATTCACATATTTCTGAGTATTTGAAATAATTAGAGAATTATTTTTTTCTTGTTATCGAGAAACGCAATCAAAGCACATATAATAAAAGAATTATAGCTGTATGTACAATTAATATAATATATATTTGTTATCATATCAGAGACCATTAAAAACATAAGTAACGTGATAGAATGTAAGGTAATTAAACGATATTCAAGGCTGCGCTAGTAAGATAGCGACTGAATGTAACGCAAGGAGGTGTAAACTCCACGGAATCACGCAAAAAGCGGAGTACGAATTCATTATACGAATGGAATACTTATTCTCTTCGTTTATTCGGTACCACATATTTTCGCGTACCTGTGACCGTATATTTGATAGTATACTATATAATTGTACTCTGGAAAATGCGTAAATAAAACATCCTATTTTTTATGTAGCTGAACTTTAAATTAATGTCACAAAGGTCGTCCGTTGAAAGAAAGAGAAAATTAAGGGACAAACGATTTCTATTCTTAAAATAATTTCTATTTTATCGGCGTTATTTTACATTATATTACATTTATCTTCCTTAAATGCATATTCAAGAAAAAGATAAAATAATCAGTTCATCTTGTCATCGAAGAATGTGATCAAGAGAGACGTCTACAAAAATATAGTTACTATTTACTATAGTTCTGTAAATAAAGAGTATATGTTACAGTCTAAAATCTATCCATTTAAAAATTTATATCTACAAAAAAAATGTGAATATGATAAGTACTTATACGATAAGTAACGTTTAAAATGGCACTAATAACGATTAAATGAAATGTTTGGAATATCAATTCCACGCACGTTATATAGATTATATCGTGGGAAAACGTGTGAATAAGCACGCTTCAATTTTAATGTGAAAACCGTATAATACATTTATTTCAGTCAATATAAATATTATTAATTCGTATCGCAGATATTATAACCACCACTGTCTCGGCCAATAACTCAAGCGCACTTTGCCTTTGTGTTTATTAATTTTTTCCCAAGCCGTGAAATGAAATGTTTTTACATCCATTTTCTCTATGTACAGACTTCCCTGAGAAATAGAAAAACAGAGATTAATTTCTACGTAAATAAATTCTTATTCTACTTATTGTTAGTTTTCGAATTCTGACGCTACAGAGATTTCCCTTTTCGTTTAACTCTTACTTGCAAGTGGTCGTATTCGTGTTGCGCTATTCTAGCCGACCACCCACGTGCTCGCCACGTGAACGGCTCAGCGGAAGCGTTCAATGCCGTGATTTCCACCTCGTAGGCTCTCGGCACAGCAGCGGTGTATCCCCGAATGCTCTCGCACTTCTCGTAAAAAGTGATAGGTGTATAGTCTATGACTTTTAATTCGGGGTTGATAAAAATCGTCATCGGGACGACACTCATTTCCTGAGCCTTCCTAACAGACTCCTCGATCCCCCTCATGCTCTTCTCCGTGCAATCGATGGCGAATATTTGCCACGGGAGTCCGATTTGTGGCCCAGACAGACTGTACATGTTGTATGTCCGCATAACGTTCATCAAACGAGTAATTACCTGAATAATTAACATGCAGCAATGCTATACCTTTTTTTTTTTGCGTACTCGAATCGTAATATTTTTTATTTAGAGTAATAGGAAACTGTCCGCGTAATCCGCAACACGCGATGAAAAAAATACGTGATAAGGTTAATTAAAAATTTATCAATGTGAAAAAAATTCTGGCGTTGCTTTTTAAAAAAATATTTTTATAATTTACAATCGCTTTTATATATAGTTACACCAAAAAACAGTATAATTGTCGAACATAATCATTTATTTTAATACACGTTATTAGTAACAATTTAAATAGTAATAATACGTGTTATTAATTTTTCTTCTTTTATTTTCTATTCACACAAATGTTTCTCCATGCAAATGCAACAACTTTATCGTACGATTATATTATTATCCTTAAAAATTACAGATTTTCTTTTCTTCTGTATATTTATTACAGATTCTCTCGCTTATCATGACATTTTCCAAATAATTTTGTGTTTTTGCAAGCATTTTGCCAAATTAAAGCTCTCTTTCAGAGCAGCTTGTTAATTTATCTCTCTTTCCACATTGAAAAATTCAGGAACGAGACACTTGAAAATTTGCGACGATACCTGTTGAAAGTCTGCCATCCTCACAACTTCCGGTTCTATCTTCATGGCGCGAGCGCGCAGGACAGGATCACCAACTTGGCAAACGTGTGCGTACGGTACGTTGGAGTTCATGCCCAACACTCGCTGAACCGTCTCCTTCATTTTCAGAAAGCTTATGAATCGCGCGCCGTTTCTTCTGACGGCAACGGCACGCGAGGTAACGTTCGCGAGATAACGCGCGCGAAACATCGTATCCGCGCGCTCGGATATTGTTGTTGCGCTTAAAAAATCTCGGAATTGAGGTTATCCACCACTCACCATTGACATTTCTGTTCTTACGTTTCCCGACCTGACGACGACGAGATACCCGCGGTTCCCGCAGAGGCCGGAGGCATACAGCGCCGAACGAAGTTTCTTTACCTCCCGATACCGGGAGAAACTCGTCCGATAACATTGCGATAAAGAGCATACAGCTACTTCACCTTCACGCCATCCGACGAGATATTAATAAATTCAAGTATAAATTTTCGCGATTATGAAACGGATCTCCCAGAGACCCGGAAATGATCAAAGAGCAGAATGCTATTCGCATAAATCGTATAAACGATTACGAAGATCGATAACGTATAAATCGTAAAATGTATATTAAATAAAAGATCTACATTACGCTCGTTCACCGCCGTGACTTTGGCCCCTGGCAACTTCCATAAAATTCGGAATTATATATGTTTAATCCTAAACACTAATCCTAACACTCTCTCGGCCGCGCGCAGCACGTATTTCTCGAACGTGCAAATTTTAATGCGTTTTTTCATTTGATATCAGAATTGCAACATGCGCGTACCTGCAGTGATCGACGATGATCCGCACACCCGTCGTTGCCGGCGGCCGGCGACGCCGGCGTCACCCTCGCTCGCTGTAACTCGACGAAACACCAACCTCGGGATGCGCGAGGACGATTGATTTTCCACACGCGAAAACGGATCACCGTTGCCGAGACACGCAGTACACGATATCTATGTCGGAGTCCACGACGGACACGTACGGCGAACATCCTCGCGACACACAGCCGCGCCGGCATGCGGCAGTCCTTCGCGCGCGAGATTCACTTTCGGACTTTTAGCTTTTAGTAACGCGCACGCGCAGAACGGCTCGAGCGCCATTTCGCGAGACGCACTCCGCGCGCGATTCAACCGGCGGCGGCGGCGCGGCGATTCAAAATCTATCGATGTGACGTCACCATCGAAGACGTCAATGACAACAATTTAAACCCGACAAAGTGGTACGTCGTGCTTGATTTTTTGTTTTATATAGGATGAGCCGCGAGTAGAATCATCCTCCAGTCTAGAACGGCCACAACTGATAAAATTAGAGCATTTAAAGCTATATTGTTCTATTCTTATTTTCATGTCGAACAACAGAAAATTAAAATTCTGGCTGTAATAACATGTTGATCGTCGATTAATTCGACCGACAGAATATTGCTCATGGCATGCAAAGTATCTTTCTACAAACTTCGCTGTTTCTGATCTAATTTCTTTTTTCACATGTCGAGTAACAACGAATTAATAATTCTGTCTACGTTAACGAAGTTATAATACAATTATAGTAAAACTACCTGTGACAAATATTCTGACTATATATAATTTTGTTGTCTCCTTTTTCATATGTATAGACAAGAAAAAATTAATGACTCTATTCATATTAACGATGTAGCGTCATATGACGAGTTAGTCGCTGATTAAGAGCCTATATAGAATTAACCAAAATTGATTGAAATTATCCTCAACGCTTTCGGTTCCCGATGTTGAAAGCGCATTCCGCGTTCTTGGGCCAAGATAGAAGTTGCCGAAACCGCGGACGCATCGTAATTCGAGCGAAAATCTCGGATACAAATTTCGGACAAAGTAACGCCTCACGCTCCGCGTTCTCGTACTAGTCGCTATAAGTTCACATCGATATTAACGATCCTTTACTGCCAACCTTAGCGCTTCAGAAATACCGCGCTGTGATTAAATAATTTTTAATTTACAGTAGAAACTTTTTTTTACTTATCGCGATACTTCTTCAATTCTTTCGATTAATATTATTTTGATATTTGCAATCAAGAATTCCGAAAAACCTAAAACGAATAGTATAATTAAATCGTTGCATTTTCCAAATAAATTTTTTCGAATAAAATTTATTATCGTACATTGAACAATATAATAGGAATAACCAATTAATATTGCGTGTTTATTTACACTTATAAAACAGACATAAGCTACGATTGAAAATTCAAACGTAAAGTGATTGATTCAGCGCATTATAATCATTGGCGTGAATTATACAAATCAGCTTCGCACGAAATACAATAAAAAAATAAAACTCAAGCACGTGATACAATAGAAAAGTAAAACCGAGCAATAAAGAATTAAACATAAGGAATTGTAAGGAATAAACAAGGAAAATTAAATATGAAAAAAATTAAGAATAAGAAATTACTCACGTTTTAACATGTTGAGAAATGACGTTTTGGTTCACAAGACAACGTGATTTCTCAACATGTTAAAACTAATTTCTTGTTTACCTCGAATCGTAACGCGGCATATTACATACCATTTCCAGCACATACATTTTATAACGGCAGAAATCTGCATTTTGTAAGATTCCAAGAGTAGATCTAAATAACATCTTAAAAAGTGTTAAATAATTATTAAATTAATTTATTAAATAATTAGCCAATCATTAGCCAACTAATTTTTAACATCAAAAGAATCTCGCATCCAGAAAATGCATACGTTATATTTTGGTTTAAAAATGCTTATTAATGTTTGTTTTTATATTCCAGATCGTTTTGACTGAATAACACTTATTGTCGTGAAAGCTATATTTTGTTAGCATAAGATACTCCTTGTTCACAAAACGAGATCCCAGATACTTATAGTAATAATGACGCATTACGTTGATAAAAACGTGATTGCGTTAATATGTGCTACTATCTCCATTTGATTTTCGTATAAATATTATTCCCATATATGTAAGAATATATGCATTATATGTATATATGCATATGTATATATAATATTATACAACACATAATGAGAAAAACATTTAAATTTTGTAGGTAATCGATAGAAGTAAAATCGCATTATAAATAAGAATATATTTGTTGGCGTACTGTTTATTTCTTTGACGTGAAATGTATGAGTACTTCCTCGCATGGTCGCAAAATGAGAGTACTGCCGTACTCAATCGTGTCGAGCGTTTTCACACTCTTTACCCTCCACTTTCTCAGAATAGCAGCCAACATGATTTTCTCTTCGATTAGAGCGAATCTCTGACCTATACAGTTTCTCGGTCCAGCGCTGAACG